TCTCCCGGGACCTGTACCTGCTGCTCCGGAGAGATGGCCGCTTCCTGGCGCCGCGCTTCGCGGTGGAGCAGCGGCCGAGTCCGGGCCCCGTCCCGACGCTGGCAGCAGCGGCCCGGCGCCCTCCGGCGCCGCCCGATGCCTCCTGCTTCTACACCGGGGCGGTGCTGCAGCACCCTGGCTCGCTGGCCTCTTTCAGCACCTGTGGAGGTGGCCTGGTAAGCACTCTTCCTTCCCCAGCTTTTCACTTTCCCGCCACTCCTCCCTCTCCCCTTAGAGACCCGGCTGGTTTGCATGCACCCTGAACTTCATTCACCGTAGTCTGCACCACGCAGTAGTGCCTTCCATTTACCTCCCGCTGAACATCTCCAAGGCATTCAGTGAATCGGAAGGCTAAAGGGATGCATAAACAGCCTTCTCCTCTATGGTTACACGTTTCTTCCGGACACGGCATCAAACTGCCTCGGGGTAACTCTTCCTGCTGGTTTTGCTGCTTTGTGTTTTCCAAAATAAGCCCACCACGTGGCTTCTTTTAGGAGTTTGGAAGACAACCAATCTGCTCACTGCGGAATCTTCTCCATGTTTGCCCCCTCCCACCCCACCACCAGTTCCGCATTTATTATCTCATTTTTTTTTTCTCATGTCCTTCAAAATTGTCAGAACACTGTAATCCTCTAGGGAGTTACATTCTGACAGCTGTCTAGAATTTAAACACATGCACAGCCACACTGGACACCTGTTCAGTGTTCTGTGAGGGACAGGAGTTGAGAAGTAACTGAAAGATTCGGAGCTGCGGAGTCATCCATGACCTTAGAACCCAGTCAGTATGCAAAGGGTCATGCATGATTCTATGGGTTAACTCTCCGTTTGTGAGGTTTGCATTTCATTTGGCAGTAGTTGGCTTTCCTGTTGTCCACACCACAGAAGAAAGCAGTAGGGTTGGGAGCCTTGCCTAGAGGCCTGTTGGAACTGCAAAGTAAAACTCATTTGCTGTATCTGAACAGTAGAGATCATCATTGGATTTTCCCTCCTCTGTCTTGACCCACGTTTTGGGAAAATTGTTACCTCCTGTAAGTTGGCCTTTACTTTGTGGTGAAGTATACATAACATGAAATTTACCATCTTAACCGCTGGTAGATGTACAGTTCACAGGCATTAAGTACATCCACCTTATTATGGGGGCATCACCATTGTGGCCTTTATTTACTGGTTTAAGGCAAAACCCACAAGATATTGAAAACACTAATGTGATTTGTGGCTTCATTCTGCCATTTCTAGTGAGCCATTGATGAAGTTCACAAGGACTTGCCTGAAAGCAACCTGCTCATTGGTAGAAAAACCCAATAGTAATGGAGAGCAGAAAATATCAGTGCAATCAAAACCACCCAAAGCCATGAAGTGGAAAAAGATGGTTAAAAATCCAGACAAAATGAAACTGGAAATTTTTACCTATGCCCTCCTAAGGTCTCATAGTCAAATGATGTAAATTGCTGGACAGGGCTATATTTTACCAGATGCTCATAATGATGAATATTCAAATATGGACATTTGTAGCCATGAGTGAAAAAAGTTGGCATGGAAAAATTACATGAAAAGCTTTTAAAAATGTTTTTTGTGGAACTGATGTTTGAACACTTCACCGGGGGAAACATTTTGTGGGGATTTCATTGTCCACTGGTTTTTGGCTAGAGATTAAATAATTACATATAGAAAGTTCCTGGTGTGGTAGAAGCAATAGGGGATAAAGCATTTCACTGTGTTGAAATGTGGGCTTTTGGTCAGATTTTCCAAATGAGCTATGCCTTCTCTCCATACTTAAGGGAGCAAAGTTAAAATTATGAGTAGGTTTTTCATAGACTGAACAGGAGTTTGACATACCTCCCTGTTTATCATGTTGGACTTTTGCTCACTTTTCCTATTAGCCACATATGTATATGTTCTGAACTGGGAAGTCTTTGTTATTGAGGAAATCTGACGTTGCCAGCAATACAGTATAGCAGTCAGACTTTTGAGTAAAAAGTTAGGCAGATAGCCAAGAAGAGTGCGTTTGTTACTCCAGACTCTACCATGCCAGCCCTTTTTCCCTTATGAGGGTGAATTAGGAAAGAGAGCATAATTTGTTATCTGAGCTCTGACATTGGCTTGTACTCTGACAATTGACAAGTCTTACCTCTCTGGGCTTCAGTGTTCATTAGTAAAATTAGAGGATTGAATGGTTTAATTAAAAACTGGAGGATAGAATTACAATTCTATTAGATGTTAAATGTTTCCTACATCCTACATTGGGGACTTACAGATAAGGAGAAAGACATTATACACAAGTGGTTATGACACAGGTATCCTTGGGACAGTGACATGATGAATCAAATCTTATGCCTGAGGTAAAATCCAGTTTGGGGAGTCAGGGAAGGCTTCCCAAAGCAGACAGAATTTAACAGAGTTTTGAAGCATCAGGAGGCATTACCCAAGTAGTATGGGGCTGAAGAGTGTTTTGGGTAGAGGAGTGATGTTGAAGATTTAAAAGTGCACACTTACCAAAGGAATGAAAATAAGAACCTCCTATGATTAAAGCCAGAAGGTGCAATAAGGGGAAATGATCCTAAAATGTCTGGTGAGATCAGACCTCAAAAGCCTTGTCTGCTGGAATACAGGCTTTTTCTAACTATTGATTATCAAACGGCTATGTTCTTGCTCTTTTGTATTTCCAGAATTCTGTGATCCTGTAATTCTAATGTGGGGAGTCATGGTGACTTTCTATAGGGGTGAATTATTTATAAATGCAACGGCTTTTCTTTTGCAAGTTTTTTTTTCTTTCCTTCTCAGTAAGTAAAAGCTTTCTGATTATTAGTTGCTTAGAAAAGAGCAGATAACTAAGTCTGCCTTCCCCCACCTCCTCTCAGGAGCTAGTTTTGCCTTCTGGTGCCTGAACTCAATGCCTTTTGGATTACTACATATTTGAAAAGATCCCAAACTCTCTATCAAAGGAAATAGATCATCAGCTATCCAGGATTGCAAAGTGGTAAACATTTATAAGGTTGGCCAATTCATTCTCCAGATATCAGTCTAACTTGTGCTGTGAAAGGAAAAGTGCTAGAATAGATATTTTGGGTACATGGCTAGGTGATGCCTCTTCAAAGTATTTAATCTTTCTGGATCTCGTTTTTCCTATTTACAAAATGCGCAAATACTATTTGTCTAGCAACTGATATATGAAGTATTCTTACTATTTCTGTTTGAAGTGTTCTTACTATTTCTCTTTCCCCTTATTAGTCTCTAATATTGAACAATAATCTTATTTCAGCCATATTAGACCAATTAGGTCCATAAATATCATAATACTAAGCAATTAAACATTTATTGAGCGAGTCTTCTGAGCAAAGTATTGTGCAGATACAGAGAATACAAAAAGAAGATGAAGCAGCCTTGATATGTTTCAAGGAGCTCCCAGCCTGGCTTGTCAGTGACAAATGGCAACAGGGGAATACAATAGTTTGAGATAGGTACAAATGTAGGTATGCCCCAAGTACTTTGGTGGTGCTGTGTTATTCCTTTCTTTCCATGTCCACAGCATTTGCAAGATACCTGGTTTTGAGTTAGGCACCCAGTAAAAACCACTGAATAAAATGCAGCATGTGTAATACTTTATTTTGTTTTAAATTACAATCTCTAAAAATTAAAATACAAAAAAGCAACAAATTAATTAAAAAAAATTTTTTTAATGTTTATTTATTTTTGAGAGAGAGAGAGAGAGAGCCTGAACAGGGGAGGGGCAGAGAGAGAGGAGGAGACACAGAATCCAGAGCAGGCTCCAGGCTCTGAGCTGTCAGCACAGAGCCTGACACAGGGCTCAAACTCACGAACTGCAAGATCATGACCTGAGCCAAAGTCAGACACTCAACGGACTGAGCCACCCAGGCATCCCCAAATTAATTTTTATGAAAGAGTGCAACAATGATGTTGGCCCAAAATTAACACATTGTGGTTTGTTTGTTTGTTTTTAAAGCACACCTAAGGAGGTGTGCTAAACTAAACTAGATCGGTACACAATTGCCTATGGTTCCCTTTAAATGGACTATGGAAATGATTATCACTAATATTGGGATTATTCTTCCGGGATTATAAAGAGTGACTACTAAAACTGTATGCACTTAATTTTTAAGTTTTATACAGTAATTGTTTTGATTAGGTCTTTATACAGAATCTGCTGCCCTGTATAAATTCAATTTTTTTTGGCAGTTTATGCCTTTTTCTTTTAATCCCACACTATCTGATGCCACAGCAAGTTATGAACAGAAATATTTTAGGGTATCCATTTCGGCCAAGACACTTTATTGGGTACCAGTACTAAGGCAGAAGGAGAGAGTGTAAGGGGAGGGTCCGGGGAATGCTCGTGCAGGAGGGAAACTGGGAAGACGAAATGGAATCGACATCCAAATGAAAAAAGTAAAGATTGCAGATTGACCTCACACATCTATCTTCTTTGTTCAAGCCAAATCTTAGGAATGACAGAAATGATCTTCTAAATAAATCTAAAGCATTATTATAAAAAAATGCCATTAGACGTGCTGACTATCTCTTGGAAGACTGACAACAGTGTGGACTGGATTAATGGAACACACAGAGACATTAGGAAACATCTGTGAATGGTGGGGGTTCTAACAGAACTGCGGGAACACAGGGAGCAGAAGTGGCACTGGATTTTTTTCATGTCCGGTTATGACAATCCATGGAAGCCAAATGTGTGTGCCTACACAAGGTCAGAGAGGGTAAAGGCAGAGCCTTCCTGGGCATGTTGGTGACACCAGAGGACACAGGGTCTCCTCCTCCATAGATGATCTGTTGGCACCCTGCATCCAGCAGAACGTCTCACCTCTTTTGCAAATAACTGGAGGAGTCACAACAGATAGGACAGCAGGGAAACCAAAAACATACGAGCTGACACCCATGAATCTAAGAAAATGAACCATATAAAGGAGAGTCCTCAAACTCTGGCAAGTTAATACATGAGGCAACAAAATTAATAAGTGGGGCGCCTGGGTGGCCCAGTTGATTAAGCGTCCAACGTCGGCTCAGGTCATAATATTGTGGGTTGTGAGTTCGAGCCCCACGTCAGTCTCTATGCCGACAGCGGAATCTGTACTCTGCTTGGAATTCTGTGTCTCCCTCTGTCTCTGTCCCTCCCCCGCTCACACACTGTCTCTCTCTCTCTCTCTCTCTC